AGACGTGGTTTCGAACAAACTAATGATGCAAAAGTGCTTGGTTTTTGGTCCTCTAAAACAAGCAATCGGAATTTCTCATGTGCAGAAGAAAAAGTTGAAATTTGTTACACGGTGTAATCTTCACAATCACTAAAACAATTAGTTGCCACTTATTACCACATGCATTGTCATTTTCCATTTGCCAATTGGTAATTCCCGCATATTCATCAGGTGAGGAGGCTGTGTGGCAATTTATTATTGCGCCAGGTGTCACCTCATTTGATGGCACATTTTTTTTGCGGATCCCAACGTTTTTGTTAAACTTGTCAGAATCTGGACATGGTGTGGATTCAACTTTCACATTGTCCATCATTGTCCATCGTTGAACAGTAATATTCACTTTACCACTCGATCTTGATTCGGTCATCATTTGATGGATTGTCGTTGATTCGTCAGCTTGAGAACCACTTTTAGATAACCTCCGAGGACGTACTTTGGTTTCGTTTGTGATTTCTTTGTTTGCATTTCGATCGGGCTTTGTCATAGTTACGCTAGAATCTTCAGTTGGCGTATCAATGAAATCAATGTCGTCTCCCAGAGAAAGATGCATGCGAGACCGTTTCACTGTAGTTAAACCTTTGTCGGGTCCCTGCCAATGAAGAAGACCAGAAGTGAAATTAAATAATTTTTAATGTATTAAAAACCTGCCCCCTGGTTTATTTAAATGTAAAAATACACTACCGTGCAAAAGTTTGGAACCACTAGGTATTTTTCATACAAATTGACCATTTTTGGTGGACTCATTAACATATTTCGGAAACACCTGCACTCTTGATATTTTGTGCATAGTTTCTACAACGTTTCAATAGTAAATCACAGGGGTTTCATCAAAAAATATTCACGTATTTAAAAGATATAATTTAGAATAGAAAGATATAATTTAATAGAATTGTCCAAAAATCGGTAATTTTAGTCAAAATTTCAAAACTTTTGTATGGGAGGTACCCGTAAATCGATTCCGATTGGTTTCAAACTTTCAGAATCTTATTTTTCTCCCAAAAAATGAAATCCCAGAGAGTTTGAAGTCAATCGGAGTCGATTTACAGGTACCTCCCATACAAAAGTGTCAATTTTTTGAGGTTTTTCTTAGGGCAAGTACCCCAGGATCAAATCAAAAATGGCTCATCTTCGAACTTAAACTAAGTTTTTCGAATACAAAATTTTTGGCATTTCCAGATTTTGATTATCTCAATTATTTTTTGAGTTATCATGTTAACACACACCAACGACGACGACGACAACGACGACAACGACGACAACGACGACGACGACAACGACGACGGCACACGAACGGATAAGTGTCTCAAAAAGTGGTTTTCCACGCGTTTCATGAGTTTTTATGATGATCTAAGCTAATTTTGCGAAAAAAGTTTTCGGGACCAATTCCTTTACTTTCCCTTGACACATTGTGTACGGAAAAGTAATACCTAATGGTTCCAAACTTTTGCACGGTAGTGTATGTCACAATATTGTTAAGATTGAGAGCGTATAAAGGGAATTTATCAAAGCAAGCTTACCGTGCAAGCCGCAACTACAGTGTGGGGGCCGATGTCATATGGCCGAAGGGGCAAATCTGGTAAATCTGCAGGTTCTTTCCCATGAAATATTTCTGTCTTAGATCCTTTTAAAGTGCAGTCCTCCATTTGCCTAACAAATAATGGACAGTATTCAAATTGACTGTATTCAAAATATTTTTATTCTACTGCTTGATTACCCTTCCAGATATTTTGTCATAAAGCATCCATCACCAGGAGTGTTTCGTGGGCTCAACGTACTTGCAAATCGTGGATCAACACTCCTATGTGGTTCAGCTATGAAACTTAGCTGTCGAAAATATGTTGAAACTCTCTGCCGTAGTGATGTCATTTTCGAAAAATTTCCAATAGCCAAATCTTGGATTCGAATGCCCTCCTATTTTGATCTGTTATAACACAAACAAAATGTACTTTTCGGAATCTTTCCAACAATGTATATTTTATATTGAGTTCAGAAGATCGTAATGTCGATTTTATTTATTGTTTTAACACAGGAAATTCCATAGTTTTTCGCAATGACAACGATATTATTACATCATTCATTGTGTTGAACATTTCCATTTTTTTTTGAAACTCATCAAATACGCACAACTATATTTTCATTTATTTAATACCTTGTATATATTGTCACTGAAAAGTTTCGTTGGTGAATATAAAAGTATCGTGATTAAAGGTAATGAGTCGTTTGTTGTGTCATCGTGTATGTGTGAATAGATTTACATGTATCTTGCAGCGTTCTTGGCTCGTGTTTTGATGGAACATAGCAGCACCCAGCGGTATCGGCTGGAACATAGCAAGAGCTTAAATTTGTTGTGAGGAACTGCTGCTGCACGTGCTTCAATCAATTTCTGCGGATTTGACATTTAACAATAACCAAAAAAAAACCAATTGCAAATTTACGGTTTTTATTTCATTCGAGTGCTCTTTGATACAAAAATGAAAACGAAAATGTCATTGGCTGTAAGTTATTACAAGATTTCATCAGAGACATTTTATTATATAAACAATATATCTTGACCATTTTCGTTGAATCCAGTTTTGTACCCGAACTTTTTTTTCAAAAGCCATTTGTGTATGTCACAGGGAAGAATGTGTGGTTCAATAGAGCATGGCAAAGTTTTTTGGTTTTTGTGTTCTCGTCTTGCGTCTTGCACAATAGAAATGGTGCACATTTCATTTTGAAGTCTTAATCTAAATTCTGTCATAACAGCTGCACACCATCGGCCAGATTTGTCAGCAGGCACCAGAGTAGGGATGAAAAATGTATGTGCCAAAACAGGAATATCACCAAAATTGGTGGCTGGAAATAAGTCGTCTAACCTCTTTACAGCTTTATCACCGTAGTCGATATACTTTATCTGTGTTGAAGAAAAAAAAAAGTCATCATTTTTTTTATTATTGGGAATGAATAAATTACTAAGCATAGCCCCTCTTCACGATTGATTGTCTTGATGACTGCCCGATGGAAGCCAGTGCCTTCAAACTCAGAGAAACATGGCACACCTTCTTGCCAATTATGATTTTGTCGGTTGAAATTATTCATCTTCACATGATTATATATCGATTGTTCCAGCTGGTATGCAATGTCAACATCCGACTCTTGTTGTAAATAAATTATTCCATTATCATTGATGTGTGTCACAAGCCCATTAAATATATGAATATTTTGAAGTGGTCGGGTAAGCCATTCGGAAACCGAGAAAAAATCCTTCATTACTTCATTATTGGCATCATCGAGATTATCGTATTCTTCAAGACTATCGTATTCATCAGAAAACTCGGAGACATTGCTATCCGTATTGAATTGAAATCCGTTGGACCGAATTTTTTCGTAACGACGTTGTGACTTCTTGATGAATGTTTCCATAGATTTTCTGATCGATCGACTGACAACGAGCAGACCAAGATTGTCCCAAATATCAATAGCGGCACTATTATTATTCAAATAGTTGGCTGTGGCTCCCCACAGCATAACACAGAGATTCGTTTCTTCAACAGATTGTTTCTTTGAGACAGCCGAAATCGCAAAATATTCATATTCGCCAACAATTTCATCCAATAAACTTGTACTGGACTCAGACAGCATTTCTGTACCCAGGCTCAAACAGCATTTCTGTACGGCGTTAGCGGGTGACGCTAATGGTAATGGTATTGATTTCAAATCGTTTACATCGATGGCTTCAACTCTTCGGCCATAATCACGAAGAAAGATTCTGAATCCATGCTCATTCTTATCAAATATGCGACCGCGATACCATTGCTTCATATTACATTCGGTATTCCAATTTTGTAATCGTACCAAGCAATCCATTCCAATCGAAAATTCATCACTATTATGATAAATTTTATCCGATGTGCTGTTCGCATAAGCGTCAATTATTCGTCGAAGCTTGAGCATAAATGCTTGTGCTGCTCTACAGCGCACATATATCTCAACCGGAGAAACGATGTGACAAATGAACACCTGGGTTTTCTTTGTGCGATCACTGGTGCACTCTTTGATCATTTGAACAATATTTTTTGACCATCCTTCACTAATTTCATCATCGAATTGCACGTTAGGTCGAACGAATGCGCCATAATTTTCGTGAATCATGTAAGCATTGTAGACTGTGTTGAAAGTCGTCATGTTGACTTCTTCTGTAAGCAGCATAACATCAGTATAAACGTTACCGTCCATCCGGTTCAAATATAGTAAAAATTGATTTGTTTGTTGTGTAATGTTTTCAAACAGCTTGGACAGTGAATATTCATTATCACTTCGTATCTCTTCTTCATTGTTCATCATTGATAGTTGACATTTGATTGCAAATGGCCTGATCAAATTATGTGGCTTCTTTAGCAAATACAAATTTTGATTTTTAGTATAAATAGATCGACCATAATCCAAAAGATATACAATTTTTTTTATCTTTCCAATGCGTTCAGTGACAGTTCCAATAACCTCGGCACGGCACCAATTGAAATCATGTAGTACCACACAGAGATCGTTCACTTTGACATTATCAATTGGCTCACAGTCCTCTTCATATGCACGATTGAGTACGTTTTGAAATTCGGTTCTCTCTTCCAAATCACAAACCTAAAAAAAACATTGAATCATTTTTGTTTCCTTCATTTTCATTTGTTGTCATACAATTTTTTTTAAAACTAATTTCAATTTCACCTGAATGGCATGGAAGTCTCGAACAGAAATGACGTTCTCAATTTTCACCAATACAAAAATGGATGGTTCGATTTTTTGGTCATGTTTTAATATCCCAAAAGTTCCCTGAATAATGAGGTATAATGTTTTGATTTTGTTTGATACAACTAATGGAAACTGCTTACATTCATGTCATCCATTTGATCCCGTTGAGCTTGTGCATATTCCAACAAATCATGATTATTAATAATACCACTTGGCCTTTTTCCAATTAAATACATTTCCAATGCACTTTGTACCGAAATTGAACTGACTGTTGCATGTTGATTTTGCCGATTGACCACGTTATGAAAACTTGACATTTTCCAATTGTTTCCCTTTGAACTTTTTCGTTAAAATGCTCTATGTTTATCTATTACAAAGTGTTATATTATCGTCTACGTACGTAGACTGTCGACAAACAAACGTCTAACTGCTTGACAAATACATTAATGGACGCTTAACTTTTATTCTTTTTTCAGCATAAGCTCAAATCTACAGCTTTCGTGACTACATGTTCAATCGGCGCATTTTTTGGAATAGGTATTTACCGTAATGAAGACCAATTTTATGACAAATTCCTTATGCCAATCGTTCATATGTGTCCACCTGAACTGTCTCATCGTCTTGCCGTGCTCGGCTTCAAATACAAATTATTTCCAAAGCAACAAAAAATAGATTCAGAACGTTTGAGAACCAAACTGTTCGACTTCACAATGGAAAATCCGTTAGGTACGCATATTATGACTTTAATGGTCGCTCGATTCAGTAAATAAAATTTATATAAGATAGTAAATTTAAATTGTTCAAAAATTTCGTAGGCCTTGCAGCGGGTTTTGATAAGCATGGGGAGTCAATGGATGGGTTAAGTCGAATTGGTTTTGGGTTCATCGAAATTGGCTCCATTACACCAGAACCACAGCCCGGCAATGAAAAACCGCGCGTATTTCGATTGATTGACGACAAAGCGATTATTAATAGGTTGCTTTCCCATATTTGAAACGAGAAAAATCAAAAACTAATTTTTTTTCTTCATTGCAATGCAGATATGGTTTTAATAGTGACGGTCACGCGAATGTTTTCGAACGGCTATCAAAATTTAGGAAAGATGATTCGAATATTATTATTGGCGTCAATTTGGGTGATGTAAATTTCATTATATTGAAGAAAAAAAAAACGATTTTACTAGACAAGCCTATTATTAACTTTCATTACCTTCCATTAGTTATCATAGATTTTTTAATTTCTTATCTGATTTATAGGAAAAAACAAAGCAACAGAAGTTGCATACGAAGATTATATCAAAGGAATAAATAAGTTCGCTTCAGTTGCAAGTTATTTTGTAATCAATGTAAGACAATCCAATCAAAATCTAAATACCGACGCAGCGCCTTGTTGTCAATTCCCATACAAACGAGCCCAGAAGCGACAACTGCTGTTAGCAAGAGTAGCTACAGTACAACTTACGTCAAATTCAAAAGCTTGTATACGTATGTATACATGTTTAAGTTGCTCATCGAGCGAATTTCAGTTGTCCAGCTCAATTTAATTTTTTTTTTTCTATGAAGAACGTCAATATTTTTTTAATCCGATGCAGAAAAATCAACGGTCTGATTTTAAAACGTAAAGTCCGGGAAAGTCAATTTTTTTCTCGTGTTTTTGTCAATACAAGAGTAACAAAGCCGATGATAAATGACAAATGATGACACATTGATGTAAATAGTGAAATGCTGTTCGATTCTGAGCCATGAAATAATTTTTTCTTTTAATTTTGAAAATATATCAAGGGATATTAATGACTTCAGTGAAGTCAAGCACGTTTTTATGTTCGTGTGAAAAAACAACCATTCAAAACCGTTCAAAACGATTCAAAACAGTTGATAACAGTATATCCGAGTATATCCAATAACCGGAATATGAAATGTCAACAAATGAAATTACAACTCGATGGAACTTTTTTTAGTCACTCTTGTGTTGACAAAAATACGCAAAAATACGGAAACATTTTTATTTGAATTTTTAAAATGAGAAAATTGATTTTTTGCATTGGAATGAACAGTTAAATACGCTTTTTGATTGAAAACATGATTCTCGTGAACAGAACGTAAACAAATGAAGTGACACTTGTTCGTATTTATTCAAAACAGTGAAATTCCTTCTGGGTACTCTTGTATTGACAAAAACACGAGAGATAAAATTTGATTTTACGTTTAAGAATAAGAAGATTGATTTTTATGCAACAAATATTTACGCTATTTAGTGAAAAAAAAAATAGAGCTGGAGAACAGAAAATCGCTCAATAAGCAACTTATAGCTGTGCCATATTCGTATCTTAATAACCATCCTAATAATTTTGAGAGATTATTGAGATCCGATCATAATACCGATAAATCTTAATAACGCTATCAACTTTTTATCAGGTTATTAACTATATTCAAATAATAACGTTACCGGATGAATCTTAATAATATCATTTTGAAGTTATTAAGATCGAATCCTGATAATTTATCAACATTCAATCTTAATAATCATCGAGTTCTGGAATTGGGTTTTGGTGGATCCTCAGGATCGACCAGAACTGCTCCCAGTTCTGGAAGTGGATCTTCAGGATGTACCAGGTCCGGTTAGACACTGCCCTTGGCCCATCCTGAAGATCCACTTCCAGAACTGGGAGCAGCCCAATGAGGAATGTGTACAATATCTGTAACAATTTTGTAATGAAAATGTACACAATGTGTGCACAAACGGTGTACACTTTCATACAATACGCGTTACAAGAATACCATAATAAAGAATACATAATTCCACATTGGGAGTTCTGGTCGATCCTGAGGATCCACCAAAACCCACTTCCAGAACTTGATGATTATTAAGATTGAATGTTGATAAATTATCAGCATTCGATCTCGATAACTTCCAAACGATATTATTAAGATTCATCCGATAACGTTATTATTTGAATATAGTTAATATCCTGATAAAAAGTTGATAGCGTTATTAAGATTCCATCATAATAACGATATCGAACGATATTTTTAGTTTATTACGATATCTTGATAAAAAAAATCGTGAGCACAGCTATAAAGCAACTGACACATGTATACATATGTATACAAGATTTTGAATCTGACGTACGTTGTACTGTAGTGACTCTTGCTAACAGCAGTTGGCGTTAGTGCAGAGAAGGTGCTGCGTCGCTAAATACTATTTCCAGAATGTTGATGTTAATATTTCGTATTCGTTCATATTCCAAAAATAGATTAGTAGTCCAAATACGGCCGGCCTTCGAAGTTTGCAGCAAGCAGATCATTTGAAACTATTATTGAGCAAAGTCATCCATACCAGAAATAAGTTGGAACAAGGCAAACGGCCCCCAATATTTTTGAAGATTTCACCAGATTTATCACACAATGACGTGTGTGATATCATATCGGTAATTTCAGAAAAAGAGTGTCGTGTTGATGGACTTATTGTTTCAAACACAACTATTGAGAGAAACGAATGTCTAAAGAGTCAAGAGAAAATTGAAGTTGGGGGTCTCAGTGGTGCTCCATTGAAAAATCAGTCCACAAGGCTAATAGCGAAAATATATATTATGACCGAGGGTCTCATTCCAATTATCGGTGTTGGAGGTATTTTTAACGGTCAGGACGCATTCGAAAAAATCACGGCTGGGGCTTCTGCCCTCCAACTTTACACATCTCTTATTTTCCATGGACCCCCAATTGTTCAGAAAATCAAAAAAGAGCTAGATGAATTGCTTGAAGCAAACGGCTTAGAAAACGTTGAAAAAGCACGCGGCATTCAAGCACACATATTGGCAGGAGAAAAATGATATATTTTTATATAAACATAATTTTTTTTGAATAATAAAAAGATAATAAACATGTTTTTGTTCAGTTTTTACATTGGTTTATTTTTGGCTGATTCAAACAGTCACATTTCAGTATATCGCATTGAACGTATTCATTTCGCCATTTAGCGTTATGTCAAAATACATAAGTCATAAATCAAGTATTATCAACTAGTTTTACTCAAAGAAAATTGATGCAAAATTTCAATGTGTCTTTGACACTGGATAAAATATATATTGTCAGTATATTGCAACAGAACATATAAAACAGAAGCAAAATGTCTCTGTTTCGTCGACCAAAAAAATCATCTGTACATCGTCGAGTGTTTAGTGCTCTAGACGATGATGAAACTACTGAAAATTCAGGAAAAAATTGTGTAGAAGACGAATTGTGCAAAAGCATTAAAACACCATCACTTCTAAGCTTTGGAGACGAAGGTATGTTCTACAGTACAAACTTCGTGAGACTATTTGATGTTAAATTATAATTGATAAATTAATTTATATCTATTTCAGAAGATGGAGCTGAACATCTGAAGTCTTTCAGATTAAGAAATCTTCTCAAAGTAAGAAGGTTATGAAGATGCTAGACAAGGAGCGACGTAAGAAGAAAAGCAAGGAAAAAGATCAATCGAATGCAATCGTTCAAGATTCCTCGACGAGTGAAGAAAAATCCAACAACGGTTTGAACAATGAAACAAATCCATATGACGTTGTTTGCCCAGCGTCATTTGGAAAAAATTCGTCCGATCAGGCAAAATCATCACATGTTTCCAAACATACTGAAATACGTACCGATCAAGTATTTGTGACTGACTTTGTGGTAAAAATACAAATCAACCAGTTCATATATGAACTGATATATCAGTCAATTTTACGAAGAAATTTCTATCGCATGGCTATAATTCATTATCTTAATTCTACATGTAATAGCTTGTGGTTAAGAAAACAGAAACTGAGTCGAGTCTTGTGTTGAATGGTCGAGCAGCGTTGTGGGCGGGACGTGATGATATGTCATCATCTGAGGATGAATCTGTGTCAAAAGAACCACATCAACATCGTTTTACAAAACCAGACAATTTCAAAGCATTACTAGAAAGTGGAGCTATTTCCGATGCTCACATGGTTCACGAAGCACGTAAAAAAGGCAATTGGTACGAGAATTGGGTTAGTTATGGAGTGAATAATCAATTAAAAGACCAGAATTTTTGGAAAATTGATCATTTTATATTGTTCAGGTGATTTCATTCCAATTGAAGACAATAAGCAAGTAGATAATAAAAAAGGACGGCTAATACGTGAAGAAGCTGAAGATGATGTATCGGACGAAGAGCGAGTTGATATGTCGGCCATAACGGGACAAAAGGAATTGGATGAAAGACGAGAAAATCTTTATTCTGTTCAAGGACATGGTTAGATTAACAACATTTTCCGTTGAAATAATTGATCAAGAGTCATAATATTTATTTGTAGGTTCTGATGAAGATTCCGATTTGGACATACATGAGTGGGAAAGTCAACAAATTCGAAAAGCAATAAGTGGCTCGCAGTTGTTTAATGCGCAACAAGAAGCCTTTTCGCATTTCTTAATTAGAGATGGGTCGAATGACTCTTTAAATTCCGCGCAAATCTCTTGAAACTGGCTTATGCGAGCTTGAACATCCATAAGTCACCACCCACGAATTTAAATCAAATCAAAACCGGGAAGAAAACAGGGCCAAAAATGCCGTACTAAGTACTTGATATTGTGAAAGAATGTTTGAATCAGGTGGAAGAATCGAAAAGTGAACATTTGAGCCAAATTCAAAAAATCATCAATGATTTGAATGTATTCACTCAAAGAACTAAATCTAGAGCAAAATACTCCAGTTGTTGCATCGAAGTTTCTTTTCTATCAGTATACTTTGGCATTTTCGGTATCTTATTAGTGGTCTTATTACTTATTAGTCTAATAAGATCAAATAAAAAAACTTCTTTCGAAGTAATTCCTCGTGACGAAAGCGAACACAAAACACCTGATATCAATTTTAAAAAATCATTACGGAGCGATTCTGAAATTAGTTGGAAGAATGCAAAAAAAACAAATCCAAATCGCTCCGAAATGATTTTTTAAAATTGATATAAGGTGTTTTGTGTTCGCTTTCGTCACGAGGAATTACTTCGAAAGAAGTTTTTTTATTTGATATCAGTTGTTTTGTACCCGAAATTTTTTTCTCAACAAAACCAACTTACCCTAAATAGAGGTGTCAACGGACAAAATTTTGTCCGTCCGTCCGTCCGAAATTTTTTTGAAGAAATTTGGACGAATCAAAATTGTTTTTCGGACGTCCGGTTCGAATGTCCGAAAACCGAAAATAATTTTCGGAC